CAGCATAGAAAGTCTACCTTTTCTTCTTCACATATCTGTACAGCTTCTTGTAAATTGATTTGAAATAATTTTATTTTCTTCTTTATGCCGTTCTTTAAACACAATGGACAAAAATCTTGCATTTTACAACTGTCTATAAATACTAAAATTTTGTTGAGTCACTAAATTTAAAATATTTTCGACTTGAAAAAATTTCTTTTTCAGTTTTAAATCACTTTCGCCAAACAAACTATACTAATTTTTAAATTCATATATAATGGGACTTGAAATTAATGCCGTATTAAATGTAAATAAAACTACAAGACGGCATATTAGTTTCTCAACATTTCACTACGGATGACGCCGTTAGAATTCAGAAAAGAAATTCGTAAGGCGTGAATTTTTCTGTGTACAGAATTCACGTGAATTGCAGGCAATTCGTTTCTTTTATGACGTCCATGTTTCACAACTCATATGAACCAACCATGAGGTCTACACTCTACGATTCTCATGAGAATCCACCCCCTAGATCTCACACACTTACCCATATACTTATTTAATATACATAGCGCACTAAATGACATAATTTTACTTTATATTTAAATATAGCTCGGGCTGTTATTCCGAATAACTCCAATGACCAATCGAGATAAAAATTGGTTGGTGTTATGAGAAGTATGAAAGGAACCCAAATATAAAATTTTAGCTTCGGGAATTTATCCGTTTGGAAAATAAGTTTTCATGTACAGGCTGTCCCGTAAAGAGCGTAACACCCGGAAATAAGGGGTTGCTGGGGTGACCCTGAACAACTTTTTCCTTTACCAAAATGTTGGTTGAAGCTTCATTTTTGAATTATTAACGAAAAACACTGGCCAATCAGAGCGCGTGCTTAACTACGGGAGCGTTGGCTCTCGTCCGCGCTTGGTCGTATGATCGTGAACAAACGCATTGGCACAGCGTGCAGCAAATGTTACATCGTCTTAAATTAAGAATAATGTGGAATTATTCGTTATTCATGAATAACAAATAAGTCGTTTAATAACTGTGTTCGATACTTTTATTCGTTATCCGAAAGGAATAAAGTGTTTTATTACTTATGAAAAACTTACCCATTCGTCCACGAATTAACCTGCTTCGACAGAAGTGGGTCATTGTGCCGATCCTGCCGGGAAAACTGACCGTGTAGTGAAGTGAGTTCACCGACCCGGCCGTAACATCAGCTCAGCTGTCGCACGCTTCCCTCGATACCCACTCTGTGCCAATGCGTTTGTTCACGACCGCACGACCGAGCGCGAACGAGAACCAACGCTCCCGTGGTTGAGCGCGCACTCTGATTGGCCAATGTTTTTCGTTAAGCAACCCCCCATTTCCAGGTGTTCGAGGAGTTACGGGACACCCTGTATACAGTACTGTACAAAAGTTTAGGCCACCTACATTATATTACAAATTTTCGTTTTTACGGTTAAAGAACGTACACAAATTTAAGTTCGAAATCGATTAATGTTGGTATGAGCTATAAACGGTTAAAGATTGTGAAAATCGCTCTATTTCACGACTTGCGGCCTAGAACTGTAATAAATTTAAAGATTCTTACATCTTTCGATGTCTGTCGCTTGTTTCTCCATCCACCGATTTCGATGAAAGTTTCAGCATATGTATAATTGATATAGATCTACAAAACGTATGTTTTAAATTTTCCTTATGAGCTCAGATAAAAAAGTTGTAAAAACGTCCTTCGCTATTTTCTTCGCGATTCCGACTAATTGCAGTTTTTATTTTAATTTATACAAACGTCGGAATGACGGCAAAAAACCATTTCTCTAAGCCTTATAAAAATAGCGGTGCAAAGTCAAATTTTTTTGACAGCGATCGATAACCAAGAAGTCACGTACGCATTTGTTCGATCGCGCGCGGATGAGCAGAGGCTAAGCGCGGGCTCTACGCGCGCTCTGATTGGCCAGTGTTTTCGGTTAATAATTCAAAAATGAAACTTCAACCAACATTTTGGTCAAAGTAAAAGTTGTTCAGAGTCACTCCAGCAACCCACCATTTCCGGGTGTTCTAGGAGTTACGGGACACCCTGTATATGTAACTGTGCTAAAATTAAGGAGGTGCATTCACATGAGAATCAAAGAGTGCACATCTTATGGCTGCTTTGCATGAGTTGCGAAGCGTGGCATCACAATAGTTACCAATCTGAAACATTTTAATACAACGGTGCCTTTTCAATTTCCACATGGACGTCGGACTTTTATTTACAACTGACAATTTGACAGTTATTTCAAAATTTATGAAAACCTCTTGAAATATGGAAGAGAAATCTTACAAAGAGCAATTAATGGAATCTACAGGTTCTTAATTGAAAATTTTAATTCGAAAGATTGGATATATCTAACTTATCACATTTTTTACATTACAGATATTAACCAAGATGAGTTGATTCTTCAACAACAAAGGCGAATCGAAATGGAGGTTAATATTTACTTTTATCATATTTTTAAAATCATTTAGTAAAAAGTATTAGTACTTACATTCTTTTTTTTAATTTACATGTTTTTATTTATCATTTTTAATAATTGTCATTAATCTCCATACTTCTGTTTTGTCTTCTGATTATTAATAAACGTTTTGTTTACCAGATTATCTTATTATCAGTTATAAATAAAGGTATAATTACTATGGATAAATTAAGTACAAACTTTGTGATCTAATATCTTTTATCTTTATTTCTTTATTTTACACATAGTAAGTGAAAATGAAAATGCGAAACAAAATTCTTATCTTCTAGATTTCTGAATCTATTGCTTTAGTTGGAGAAAAAGAATCTATAAAATGTTTAGAACGTGAATACTCTGAGGATGAAGTATACCTTTCTAAAGCTAAAGCTTTGGAACAAAAATATTCATATATTAGGAGAACTAGACCAGATGGAAATTGCTTTTTCAGAGCATTTAGTTATGCATATCTTGAAAAATTAATTGGAAATAAAGATGAATATAAAAAATTTCGAGAGCTTGCATTAAAAAGTAAAGACAGTTTGGTAGCATTAGGTTTCCCTCAATTTACAGTTGAAGATTTTCATGATACGGTAAATGCATAATGTTATAAATCATCTAATGATTAAGTTGATAAGCAAAATAATATTTTGTCACTTTTGTATTACAGTTTATGGATGTAATTGATAAAGTAGGAGGAGATGCAGAATCAAGTTATATTGAACTGCATAAACTGTTCAATGAACAAGGTTGTTCTGATTATATTGTTGTATACCTTAGATTAATTACTTCTGGTCAATTACGGCGTGAAGCTGATTTTTATCAGCATTTTATCGAAGGAGAACGTACTGTTTCAGAATTTTGTCGTCAAGTAAGTATAAAATAAAGTACTGATACTTTTTATGTAAGTTATACATACATAATTTGCAATAAATATAAATCTGAAAATATTTTACATCCCAATCAACACCAATTGAATTATTAAGAAATATTTGTGTTTTATAGGAAGTAGAACCAATGTACAAAGAATCTGATCACATTCACATTATAGCTATGAGTACTGCTTTAGGAACGGGAGTACGTGTTCGTTACATGGACCGAGGTGCAGGTACTGAAGTAACTGCCCATGATTTCCCTGAAGGTGCCACTCCAGCTGTTCATTTACTATATCGTCCTGGTCATTATGATATCCTATATCCTTGATAAATTATGAATTAAACTTGCATACAATTTTCTGAAAAACCTCTCTCATGACAAAGATTTATTATTTAGCAAATTATATCTTGTGTATGTAGTCAAAATTCATAAAATTCTTGTTTAAATACCTTATAATACTACAGTTATAAGTAATTAATTTAAGCGTTATAGAATATTCAATAAAATTATGAAATTTTATGTAAAAGTAAAAGTGTATTTATATACATATTGTATCTTCAAAAAGATATTAATTTTAATTGTTTTCTATTCTTTTAACCATACTAAATTGTTCACAAATTTAAGTGTGAAATTAAATACATTAAATAAAATAATTTAACAAAATACATATTTTTATGTATCAACATGCTTGCTCGAGGAATTTTGTCTTACCTTTGGAGGTAGAGTAAAATGACCTTATTTTGTAATATGTTCATGTAACATATATTTTATTAAACAATAAGATTGCTTAATTATATGTGGCACTTCACATAACTATTATAACATTGACACTATTAAAAATTTTACAAATATCTCTGTTTATTTCACCGATGATATCCATAGCTTCATTGGCAAGACGAATGTCTGTCACTTATACCCTCACAATATTCAATGTGTTCATTTCTT